AGGTCAAAATTAAAGGTCAAAATAGAAGACCTAAATTATACAACTCCACCAACGACGAAGGTCTGGCCGGCGCAACGGCCCATTATATCACCCAATAAGCTCGGATAAAATTATTTTTTCACCACTATCTAATTAGCCATTCTTCTTGGTATTATTCGATTGTCTTATTCTGAAACGAGTAGCCAAGTCAGTTATAGATGCCGCAAATGTATTAGTTTCGGCGAGTGCATGCTCCAAATCAGTCAACTAAAATACACAATAACTTAAATAATCTATTATGGAGAATCGGGAACTTTGTGCACAAGTGTCCTACGCTCTCCGAAACTTTGCGAAAAAGGGTGCTGAATGATGACGCATGGTTCTAGATAATACCGAACGGTTGCTAGTGACTGGCAAGTGTCAAGATACAAGACGTATACGCAAAAACGGCGCTGTATTACGCCTCATGGACCGAGAATTCAGGTGTTGAGGCTATTGGTTTACTACTGGCGAATAGCGCAAAGGTCGACATATGTGAAGGTTGTGGTCAGGCAGCTCTGAATGAGCAGGCAAAACGGACAACACTGCAGTGGGCGGTGATGAATAATCGCCGAAACAAAGTATAACTTCGAGTTAACCGGAACGTGCATGGATGGAAAAAGAACAGAGGAAATGCCATGTTATTGGCTATAAACAGTGGAAACTCGGGTATACTTTAACTTTTACTGCTGAACGGCAGTTTGGATTATAATACATCCATGGGGGAGAGAACGTTGGAGTGGACTATTGACAGAGAAAGCACGGATATACTTTAAAAATTAGTTGATAACGTCCTGGAAGTTACAACACAAAACGGGCAGAGAGCACTTGGGCTGGCCGTGGATAATAACAGAACGGACATTCCGCTGCTTCTGGTGGACCAAGATGTGGACGTCAAAACACCCAACGGTCAAAAAGCCTTCATGCTGGCAGTAACTTAGCAGGATCAGTATACCATCAAGAAATTGATCAAGGCTGGAGCTGAAGTTGGTAGTTCAGCGTTACGGAAAGAGCTGCAGCAAGTTGATGCGTGCGGAAATGTTTGTTAGCGCAAAGAGACGTTGAGCGGAGGCATTTGTCACAGGCGCTGCATTGGGCGGCGACATATACATCTGCACCCAAAGCGAGAATATTTATTGAGGCGGGAGCAGACATCAACGCAATGGAAGGAGGAAAGAGTGTGTTACACGAGGCGGTCGAATACGACGCCTGGACGGTCGTGGATCTGCTTGGGAGGCATGGGGTAGATGTTAACGCGCAGTCCAAAGGCAGAGCTGCAATACACCTTGCGGTAAAGAAAACGGAGTGGAAAATAGCGGAACTGCTGGCAAAGTACGGCGCAACACTGAAAATCAGGGGCACAGAGGGTTCAACGCCACTCGAGCTGGCTACGAACGAAGGGACCAGAGGCAAACATCTTCGATGTTTTAAGAGAGGTAGGAAAAGTGGACAGCAAGCCAGACGTTGAAGGAAATTCGTGTCTGGTATACATGTACCTACACTGAGAAATATAAGGCCTTTGGTTTGGGTGGAAACCGATTACTCGAGACTGACAGCATGTAAGCGTGCAAACCAGTATATTATCAACCGACCAGGCGGATGCCCTTCGGAGCTGACGTCCAAAAGAGAAAAATGAAGCCAATTACAAACCCTGCCATATTCTCTCTTTATCTAGTTTGAGTTGGCGACAAGTCAAAGTACAGTGCCATCACACGATTAACGATAGTTACGCCATGGGTCACGAGACCTATGGTTGAGAACCTCATAGAGGCTTACCGCTGCTTGTATAAGTAGACCTCTTTAGTGCCAAGGCTTTATGAAAACCAAGGACCTTCAATACCAGAAGAGTCCGGTGTTATTAGACGAATTGAGCTATTGCTTCCAGCCCTCTCTAAGCCCTGGTCACAAGTGCTTACCGCCACATAGTGGTGTGAGACGACCTTGGACTCGGACACGACTTCAGCTTTGAGCTACGTGAATATAGAATAAATCATATGGCACCGGGGAGGTTATCGTGGCGATAGCCTTCTAATTGCCTATCCACGCAAGAGACCCAACATTTTAATCGCAGATGGGAATCTACTGAAACGATGGTCAAGAGTCACCTGGAATATGAGGGGAAGTTTCATCAACGTGTGAGGAGAGTTGAGCCGCACACCGTCGGAGGTATCAGTATCTTCCTTTTTGAAAGGTAGATGCCTACGATCGTATGTTAGCTGATTTGTCACCGTAGATGCCTCCAGCTCAGCATCGGCATTCCGAAGAAGTAATGTCTTCTCAGCCGCAGCTCTCCTCTTATGCCCTGGTTTCGGATTTGTCTTTAACGGTTAGCAACTACGCCGGAGTGGTTTGGTTGGCGCACCCCAAGACGACACACCATCTTCAGCTAGCTACACGTGAAGTCAAATTGAAATAATCCCTGGGGTAGGTAATCACCATATGCAACACACTTCGACTGGATTGCTGTCGAATGAAGAAGCTAATAGGCTGATGCTCGAGTAGGCAGCACGGACAGCCCCTCGAACGCCGACTCGATTATCTCAAACAGAAAGGGGAAAGGAAAAGGGAGATCAGATCAGTCTTCTTTATCTGGTTTCAGAATATAAGACTCGAGGTTTAACAATCTGCCCGATATCTATAGTCGAGCCCATCTCTCGCCATGCACCGGATAAATTATCGGCAGCGTACTTGTCCGAAGTTGCGATGCAGCAACGATTTCTAAGAGCTAAAATTGAGGGCGAAGACAAGACGTGGCCGGTCTTGGATATTGCTTATTGGATAGGTTTGTCATTGATGTCGACACAGGAGAGTCTGACAGGGGCATCCCAGCGCCATTGCATGAAGTGAATATCTTTGCCACAGGGACGGACGAAGTCACACTCACGGCTCAACTTGACAGCGATGATTTCTGTATCCCTCAAAACATCCAGGATACTCAATTGCATGTAAGCAGCATTATTCTCACAGCTGCAATACACCAAATCCAGCCCGTCTAGCCGACGTCTAACATAGTCACTGGCGAGTCCAACGCCGGCGGTAATGCTCCTCCTTCACGCGGCAACCTCACCGGTCAGAAAGCTTCTGAAAACCGCTACGCTCAAGCCATTATTGCCTAAACAAAGAAACAAGGACTTGGGAAGCAAGGCTGCGAGGCTGCCATTGCTACTAGACCCATCGAGGTACGTGGACTCTTCTGACTGTTGGGGGGGATCATGACAAGAAACTAACACATCGTCAGTCTAGCTTGCGCATCGTGGCCAAGAACGGTGTGACACATGTATCAATGCTATAAATGAATAAGCAGTCAGGCCAGCAGTCCTTTGTAACTAAACGTCAACGCCTCAAAGTTGACCCTGCCCACAGTACCACATGCCTACAGCAGGGAACATTCGGTGTTCAGCCGGGACCTCGATTTCCGGATCTAGATGAAAGGGCGTGTGTCAGAACTTACATGGGCTCGGTGCCACCATGAAATGAGAATGACTCACGCTGCTGTTGACCGTTCTTGGTCAAGTAAAGACGAGCATGCGGCCAGTCAAGGCCACAACCCACGGCATTTCGGGTGGAAAACGTCTCGTAGGATGCCACCTCGTTTCTCTCGGCAAGGCATGTCCCCATCGATGCCAAATAACCCCACGAGCGGGAAAATCGACCCGGCACCCGTCTAGAAGACCGCGCACATCGTCGCTCGCGCCCAGCAACGAGGCGAACTGAAGCGGGTTCCCATAGAGGCCCTGTTGATGGGTCGGTTCATTTCCAAGAAGAAGCAGAATCCGGTTCCAATTGTCAGTCCGCTATCGGTCGGCGGCCTGCAGGGCAGGGGCTTGGAAGGCAAAACCTGGGAACCTGTCGTCGCGGTGTCGGGCGTCTTCATGGTACCAGTACTCGAATAAACCCCGGCCGCCTCAAAAAAGGCAATTCTGCCGTGAAACGAGATCCGGAAGCCTACGTTGCTCTCGGCCAGGAGTCTTGCCCGGAGTCGGCATCTCCGCCACGTTGCAGCAGATCCGTCACAAGTCCCCCGTGTCCGAGTCTCGAGGCCGACTGCATCGCATCGCCAAGCTGACCGGATGTAGCATTGACTTCGGCGCCTTTGGACAGCAAGATGCGAGCGTGCTCCTGGCGATTGACATAGCAGGCTACCTGAAGCGGACTGCCGTATGGAAAGGGGTTCAGATTGACGCCTCGACAGCCCGTTTTGGCTTCTAGGAACAAGCTGAGAACGCGGCATGTTTCCAAAGATTTAGGGAGAAAAGCGACGCTGTAGACGGAGCTAATTTCGTCACCACGGAATACGGCCGGGTCGGCGCCCTGTCTCAAGAGGTACTCGACGAGGCGTGTATTCAGATTGCTGAAGGGAGACCGTAAGTGGCGATCCGTGCCATAGCGTGCCGCGATGGACATCAACTCCGTTTCAAACAAGCAGCTCAACGACTTGCTGATTGCCGGAAATCACTGCCGACTCGAGCGCCTTCCCGCAGTCCCCCCGGCCGATATATATCGCCTGGCTCGTCGGCCCGCGCTCCGTGACGGAAAAGCGCATCCACGGCCCCAAGGTTGGCGCAGTAGGCGGCACTTCGCATCGCACTGCCAATTTGTGACAGATGCGCATGTACCTCGGCGCCTGCTTGGATCGGCTTGTCAACAAGCTCAAATGAGCCGCTGATGGCCGCGCCTCCAAGCGCATGGTTCAAGTCGCTCGTCGTCAAGCGCCCCGGCGCCTGCTCAAGATACCATTCAACTCCCTTGTGTCAACCAAAAAGAGCGGCAAGGTACAGCGGCGGGATATTGCCGTGGTAATCCTTGCTTAGGCGCTAGAATGCGATAGAGCAGCATCCACGACTGGTAACTCGACCGGGAAGAAGCCAAGTCTCGCTTCTGTGCTGCTAGACACATGAACGCGAGCTCTCGGCCGTCCTCATCACTTGGCTGCGGCTCATTATCCCTTGGTACCCATCTGCGAAACTTGCAACACTCGTCAAATACGTTGCAGTATTCGTCGTCAATAGGTGGACAACTAACGGCAATTGTGGCTCGATCTGTCCAACCGTTGATCCGCGCCGCCAGCCCGTGCCCCGGATACATGAAATAGACGGCTCGGCGAGAAGAAGTCGATCGAGGTGCGACAAGAGGGCTTGGCCGCATTCTTGCAGCTCTTTGCAATGGTCTCCTACGGACAAGGTTGTATACGCAAGGAGCAGGTAGGCTTCCCGGCGACGGGCCAGCTCAGTTATGCCGTCGTAAGGCTCTTTGAAAGCATTGAACAAGAGACGGGTGAGACAGCCTAAAGCGCTACCATGGTGGGCTCTTTGCAGGTTCGTGTAATCTCTCCAAGTGAGGTATTCCCGGACTGAAAAATGACACAACATAGCCTCCTTGGTTTCCTGGTTGATGTGTATCAACTCTCCACAGTGTTCGGTTAGCAAGTCTTCATTAACTATCCCTCCAAGACTGGGTTCTGCATGATTTGGCTCTAGAGATACAGCGTGAGAAAGCTCCCTTAACGTGAGGGGATACCTCGCGGCAACCAACCACTCGAGCACTCTTCACGCTCTATGCAGCATCCCGGGGGTTTTCTGGAGACGTTGCTCAAAACTCCATCTTGGAAAGGATGTGATCATAAACTTCAAGTAGACTACTTGGAAGTACCTGCAGGGTATCTTCAACGTCATCGTTGTATTGGCAACGTCCTATCATGTTGAGCTGAAATGTGGCAAGCAGAAACAAAACTAGATTTGCTCTTGTTACTCTGGTGCCAATCTACTTTTAAAATCCTGGGCTAAAAAGGTTCTCTTTACTTATATGGTGCTCCCCATATCTGGTATTGCATCTCGCACCCTCAACAGCATTTCATCGATATACGTCGCGTCGTCAACTCCTTTTGCTCGACTATATAGCCGTCAACAACCAACTCCACGTCCTAGTGTGTATAATCTACAAGCCACATGGATGGCAAACACTGAAATTTGTGTCTGAGAATATAATCATCTCTGCTGGTCACAAGAATTTTCATGCTGCCCTCCGTGTTGTGGTACAGGGAAAGCCTCTTGCTTGTGATTTCCATCTGCACACATTGAGAACCCTTGCCAGGGCATTCATCGAGGGCATCAATTATCAGGATGATGGGAGCAAGGGCATGGAATCTTCTCATTATTATCTTTACAAGGGCGTCTTCATCGGGCGGTACCAACTGCGAATGTATGTTAGTTCCAAGCTTTGCCCGTTGGTGATCAACTATGGATTGAGAAGCGGCTGGGCTCTGCTGGAAAATCTGAGACGCCAAGCTTCCCAAAATTGCTCGTGTATTCCTTGGTTTCTCGTTGTTAAAGACACAGTAGAAGAAGGCAGCTGCAATTTTCCGGGTCTACGTCAGGAAGCACGAGTGTTGCATTTTGTCGATTATGGTGGGACTAGCCCAGATGTAGTAAATAGTTGTGCATGATGGAGTCGAGGCGTGGTTATTTGGCGCTTGCGCGAGGATCGATTTGCCCGCGCCGGCTTCCATGTATACAATGATTAGTCTTACTGACTCGAGAGGACAAAGGTGGTTGGACTTCCGTATTCCTTTGATCCACAAGAAGGAATTTCCAGGGGAATCGAGCCAGTGCTCAAATTCGCCTATGTGGAAAATCCATTCTTTCATCCCTGCTGCTCTGTCTTTGACGCTGTCTTGATGGATTGCTAGCTCGGGGTGTTTGGAAACCCACCGGTAGGCACTGTTTACTTCGTCCTCTGTCGGTGCTAATAAACAGGTTAGATGTAAGACTAACAACCTACGAGTTGCTCTCTTGTTTCACTCAACTATTTTTTTGGGGGAGGAACATGGAGCAAGGCTTTAGCATACGCAGCTGCCCTCCAGCCGCAAGAGCCTGCCATGCCTTATTCTTGTGCGAATCAGAGTAATCACAAATGAACCTAATCACAAGGGATCCGAGACTATCCATTAGTCCCGCAGCCTCCATCTCAAACAAATGATACCCAATTCATCCCGCCACCTATCGCGAGTTGTACCATCCCTCATTACCTAGTCTCCAGATGCAATCAGTCCGTGGCGTACAACAGGCACAGCCCCTAGCCGAGGCTCTCGCTTAATTGCCATGGTCGTATCACACTGTTCGCAAGTGTCCTGCCCCTGCGGATGATTATACGCCGCCTCATATAAGACATTGATCGGCGGCAGGACTTGGATCCTCAAATCTCCCAGGACTGTCACATTATGGCCTTGACATGCTCCATGAGGCCGGATTCGCCATTTGCTTCTTTCGCCTTCAGTCTAAGCATGGCGCTCAACAGAGCTCTCGGGGGCTTGTTCAAGGTGCCGCCGTGTAGCACAAACTGTCCGTGGTGGATAATTTTTCCAAAATCATATTGCACCACGCCGCCGAACCTGGCGTCAGGCTCGCTGACGGCAGTGTCGCCAAGTCCAACGTCACGTTTCGTGCCAGGCGCGCCGCCGCCAATTCCAACCATTAATGCGTCAAACTTGATGCTGGAGAACTTGCTCTTCATTTGGTTGAGCTCTGTGGAAGCCGACATGGTACCGGTTGATCCCGACGGCAGAGGCACAACGACGACATTGTGAGCACTTATGCGACCGCACGTCAAGATGCTTTTTCTGAAGCGTACGTCTTGGCCGAATACGTCGTCCAGCATGGAGGTTACGGCGTTGAATTCCACGTTCAGGGTGCCAATCCGGAAACTCTTGGCCGACGGCATCGCCATCATTTGAAGCTTGCACGAGGTCTATTAAAGGGTTGGATAAGTTATAAGTATAAAAAAAGGAGCAAAAAAGGCGATGGCATTTATAAGAGAAACTATCTAGGAGAGTAATACTCTTATATATATACTATATAGTATAACCATCGAAGAATGAAAAGTTATTCTGAGTTTTTTTGTATAAGCATTTATTGCTATATACTAGCATAACGCGTAGAGAACTAAACTCTACTCCACGAATTCTGTGTAAGCATTTGCTGTCACATAATAGTAATACTTACTACTACTTTTCAAGTCCAAATTGGTTCACCTGCTAAGTGTTAGTAATAAATCTCTCAACCTTTTGCTATATATACTTACTTGATGTTTGCTCAGCCTTCGTTTGAACACATCTATATACAGTGGCTGGGTCGGGCACTTCGCCGTTATTGGAAAATGATTGAGTGCATTCATCCCTGAACTCTTGGCATTGGTCTGGCCTAATGCCAGATATTCTGCACGTTTGGTTTATCGCCTTAGTCAGGGTTTCTTCGATCGACGGGCCCTTTATTTCTCGTCCACGACCGCAGGTTACCGAGGTCTAAAGTCGATTAGAACCTACATGTAGGCTTTAGTCGATATATAGTAAAGTTACGTACTACTTCCCCCGCTGAATAAGGTACAGGGCCAATATCACAGGTACGGCACTATAATATATATTAGTACTGATAATTTAGAGAAATATTATACTTACAGGTCCAAGTTCTTCGCAAGTTTTTCTAAGGTCCTCTTTTCCTCGTGTTCCTGGTGCCTATAAATATATATTAGAATTTATAGTTTTTAAATTATACTTATATTTTACTTACCCCAAGAGTAATTTTACAACGTATCTTTTTGCTAATATTAGCATGTAAAAGTCTAGTAGTATAATTTTAGTCTCTTACTATATCTTGATCAACCTATTTATATTAGTAAATAAAAGTCTAGTAATTTATTTCGGGCTTCTTTTACCAAAGCATTATTGCAGTCTATATCCGAAGCCTGATATACGTCTAAGAAGTGATCTAATGTCTATAAATTAATTAGTATAATGTCTTACAATACGATTGCCTCAAAGCTTACAAGCTTAATAAGATGCTCAGGAGTACCCAACGATTTATCTCCGGTCTTTGAAGTCTGAATAGCTACAGCACTTCTTCCAAGTACCGCAAGTACCGACAGGATTGTAGCTTGAAGCTTCATGATAAAAGAGCAAATAATAAGAGTTGTATAACTTGAGATAATTTGAAACGGTTTTTGTGAGTAAATAATAGTAGTCTTAAGTAGAGCTAAACAGGAATACTAGGTAGTATTTATAGAAATTAAACTTTATATTATATTATGTAAGTTCGCTTATTATAAATATAGTTTACCTTTTGTAAGTATATTCGCTATATTAAGTTAGTATTTTGCATAAATTTTTATAGTATAAGACGACTTGGCAAAATAAAGTTTTCATGCTATTATATTTATTTCGTATACCAGCCCACTTTAAGTACTAATTTGAGTCGTGTACGCACGCGCATAATTTATAATTAACAGGGCATGCTAGCTATACTATTACTTCACGAGTCATATATCGGCTAACCTGTTAGCAGCTTTAAAGTACTACTTACTATATATTTAGATTATAATAAGCAAGTCTATTAGTATTATATATAAGAAATAATACTTAAAGGAATAAAATAAGGTGCAAGAATAAATTTTATATTAAATTAAAAGCTAGCTAGACAAGATTTAATATAATAAATTCTACTACTAAAATACCTACTCTTAATAGTATAATAATATATTATAATTATTTACTTAAAAGCAGTTATATATGCTAAGTACAAAATAAATACGAGCTAATCATATTACAAAGTTAAGTATATTATAACTAGTAGGTATATTTAATACAAGAGGCTTATTATAATATTAGGCTAGGTTCAGAGTAGCGGATTACTCAATATGCATAATGCATAAACCGCGATAAGCACGCCGAGTCATGTAAATTGGCGGTCTCAAGGAAATGAGACAAGACAATGCCCCGAGGTACGCCGGACCCTTGTGGCCTAAACGGTTAATGCTTTGGAGGCTTGGAGCCTTTACTACCTAGAGTCCGCCAGACGTATTAAACAACATTAGCAATAAAGCGTCTGGTAGCTTGGTTTTGTTCTGGGGATCAACCGCCTGCAGGTACGTGCAGCATTGGGAAAGGTCGAGTCTGGTCTGGTGTTTTGGGGCCTCGGGCAGTTGGATGTGAGATGCTTGACGTCCAGCTCGCCCGACTGCCAAGCGCATAATGCCTAACGTGTCAAATAGCATTGACCTGACTTATTTGAAACGTCAATACCTCGTAATACCCACATGCATATTTTGCCAGGGTAAACTCATTGACGCGCCATCTCCTGCCAAGCTTATGCATATAACCCGGACGTGTCATACTGACTCACGTATCAGAGCCTAAGACTTGGAACTTGAAAGAATACACGTAACAATAAAGCCAACCAGCGTAAGTTTGCTATGAGCGATATCCTAAAATCTCTTTCGCTGTCATTTCAGAACCTCTGCCGACAAGCTGCGCACAGAGAAGCCGGCGTCGAACAGTTGGCGCTAATTTTCTACGTGATACGCGGCTGGAATCGACGGATCTAGAATATTGATCGTTATACTAGCCCAAGAGGCGCGTCACAGTCAGGCTGGTCCAGACCTTGACGGCAATGATCAACCGTGGCGGCTGCGATTCTCGCCCAAACGCCTCGCACCATGGACATCTCACACAGGTAGAGCCTCCAACGGCCGGGGCATCTGCTCATAGGCCCAGAACGCAGCGAGTATCACAAAGGTGCAACGCCCACTATCGACAGTCTACTAGCTCAGTACGCCACTAAACGTTATATCACGATACGTGTGTACCGTGGAGGGAGCTGCACCAACGCCACAGTAAGCTTGCATGCTCGATGAGAGCTATCAGATTATAAAAAGACGTCAGGCGTCGCGACTTTCTTTTGATAGCCTGTGCAACCACTGTAGATGCCTCTGCTACTCGGTTCAGTGATTCGATAAATACGGCGGACCGACATGGCAGCAGCTGAACCAAAGCCGGCGCCGTCCGCCGAGAACCAGACCACGCAAAATCTGAATGTAGATGCGACCGCGGCCGTCATATCGAGGTGGTCCGACCTCCACGTGTCAAAACCAGCATCTGTCAGCATACCGGGGTCAGAGCAGGATGTCATTTCTGCGATCCGTCTCGCCAAGAGCAAGCACCTGACCATTGTAGTTGGCGGCGGCGGCCACGCCACCTTTGTCCCCGTCGACTCGTCTACACTATACATGGACATGAAGTTATTCCAGTCCATAGACGTCGATAAAGATGCTGGCGTAGTGAGAGTCGGGGGTGGTGTCACGACCGGCCGGCTTCTCAAGTGTCTCACCGAGAATGGCCTCTACACACCCCTGAGCGACTCGAATGCCGTCGGTGTTGTCGGATCATTGTTGGGCGGGGGACACAATTCTCACGCCGGACTACACGGATACATGGTCGACAACGCGGTATCCTTTCGGTTGGTCACGGCCAACGAGGAGGTCATTGAAGTCGACGCACAATCTACAGGCGGCAAGGCAACGCTCTTCCATGCGCTGTGTGGTGCCGGCCAAGGGCATGGAGTTGTCGTATCGGCCACGATGAAGGTATATCCCCTCGCAGGTCTCCAGCTCACAGACAACAAGATCTGGAGACGGGTCATGGTCTTCCCGTCTTCCGCGTTGGCACATGTCGTCGAGGCTTATCTGGCGTTGCTTCCTGTCCCCGGCCCTCTTTACCCCCAGCTCGTCTTCCAACGGGCGCCTCCTGTGACGCCCCTGGCCGGAAGTCCCACCGTTGTTCTTTCCGTCAAGTATTTTGGTCCGGCGAGTGATGCCGAAAAAGCCGCTTCTGTCTTGTTCGCGTCGGACCTCAACAACGTCGCCGTTCAGGTAGACTCCAAGATGATCGATGCCAGCCATTTGAATGACGCGCTAGAGCCTCTGAATGTTCATGGGGGGTTGAAATCGGCATGCGGCGCCCGACTGGGAAAAATCAATGCCAAAATGATCACCTCGAGCTTTGCCAAATGGCTCGCCATTACCGACGAGCTGCCGGATGCCCACAGATCCCTCGTCTTCCTCCAATCCTTTAACCCGGCCGTCCTGGAGGCCAAGGGGAACTCGGACCCGGGGAAGAACATGTTTCTTGAGGCGCGGGATCGCGGCTTCTTTCTGGTCGTGGTGACTTGGTGCACTACGCAGTCTTCCTTTGAGAAGCTGCTGCCGTATGCGGATGATGTGCTGCACGTTTGTCGCAGCGAGGATGGCGCAACGCCGAGGACGATCCCGAATACAATGCGATATAAGGAGCCTTTAAAGGATATCTTTACGGGCGAGAGAATCATGGAGCTTCACCACTTGAAAAAGTCCTGGGACCCCATGGGTGTGTTTTGGAGTCCTTACGTCGGCGCTTATCGGCACCATCACGAAGAGGTTGCTCCATGATTGGAATCGTAGCGGATGGTAGGGTTAGGGTTCTCCAACTGCCTTTAATTTCGCTTTTCTTCTGTCAAGTATTCCTTGTAGTTTAATCGTTGCCGTAGTATGTCAACTGCCAGAATCGCAATTTTTAAGCCCCAGTTATCGAGCAACATGTTCCGCACAGCAAATGACCAGGCTTTCAAGTAGAATCTTTCCAACGTGTAAACTCCACATGAAATTCCATATTGCCGTCGATCCCCCGCATACCACGATGCGGGTGTGACGGATGCCAAAACCAGCAACCCATTCCATCGGGCCAATGACAAAACTACACAAACGCCCCCAGGAGCTATCAGCAGCCGCTCTGAATCCTCAAAGTTCGATAGCGTCGCATGCGGGACAAATCTTACGCAACCCTACTCTTGCTGGGGAGCTCATACCCCTCCAAGATGCTTCAATTGCCAGGCCCGTTTTCTAGAGAACAGCCAACTCATCTT